TTTTCTTATTTTCTATGGGTTAATTTTATGTGCGTCTGTAATTTTTGTTATGTATATCCTCAAGAACTTCCTAGGATTGTCTGGTGCCAAATTTTCTATGTCCTTGTTTGTTTGAAAGTTTTTTTCTTCTGACATTTATTTGGTAGCTAGATTTTATATGTGTGATTCTAGGTTGGGGAGATGTGAAGCAAAAGGACTCTCACTTAACTCCACTGTTTTTTTATTTTCCTTATGTGAACCCTCTTATCAATTTGATATTATTCCTTTGTAGATATCTAATGGTTCTTTCTGGAAGCTTTTATAATCTCCTTTTTCATTACTATCAGTTTTCACCCAGGTATAAAATTTTACTGTAATGTACCTGAGTGTGGGTCATTCTGCACTGGGCTGGGAGCTCAGTGGAGCCTTTTCTCTGAAGGTGTGGGTGCTCTGTTCAAGGTAATTCTTTTTCACTTTTCCTTATGTAAATTTCTCCCCATCAGTCATGTCCTTTTTCTTCAATTTAATCAGATAGATAAGATCAATCTATGCCTCTTGTCCCCCCCCCCGCAGGTTTTATGCATGTTTTTCTCATGCTCAGAAGCAGTAACATGAACGTAAACCCCAAAACGTTTATTGAATTTTATATTTCAGGTCATATTTTTCTATCCTAAGGGATGCCTCATTCTTTGATTATTTTATCACTGATTATTTTTCTACTGTTGATTTTTTCCATTTTAAACCTTTTTAAAAATTTCTCAAATCTCTGTTCTAATTAAGTTGTTTTGTGAAGACTGTATTTTCTTTTTTCTCTCAGAGCTCACCCCCATTTATCTTGGCCTTTCGCATTTATGCAGTTGGTTTCCCTAAAATAATGATGCTTGATTTCATATTGCACAAGGTTTAAGAACTTTGATCAAGAGTACTGTGTAAATAGGCTGAATCTGGTGAATGGCCCGCAGATGGAGTAGGCACTCCAAGTTCCATGACTTTTCTCTAGGGTTGCAATATTCACCTTAGATGTAGTAGTTCCCAAAGAGCTCACCTAATTGCTTCTGAGAAGAAACCTCCAGTCATCTTCTTAGGCAAAACATCTGACCACCAGTGACTGCGTATGGGGACCCTTCGCTGGTGACAGAGTTCAAATCTTCAGTAAACAAATGTTCAGCTTACATCACTGCTTTCTGGAGTGAATCCATGTCCCCGAAACAAAAGCTTTCCAAAGTGCCTGCTAATCTTAATCTTGGTGTTTCTCCCAACATGTTCTGCTTAAATAGAAGGCACAGTGGATTACACAGCTATTAAAGGCATATGGGTGGAGGAGGAAGGCAGTCATTTAGGGTACTCTTCTTGAATCCATGCAAGCATTTCCACAGAAAGACTAATCTGCCCACTAATCCCAGCCAACCACCTACTGTAAAGTGATGAAAATAAAATGACAGGTATTTAATGCCCTGAAATGGCTTAACCCCCAGTGTCTTGTTGGATAATGCTCTGTGCAAAGTAATTCTAATTGTGCCTGTTGTTATTAGGCTGTTAATATTACTAAATTTAATACCAATACCCACTGAGAGGCAATGGTTATTTTTCATGGAAACTCCGTGGTTCCAGTTTGTACCAATTGGATATTAAATAACTCTCAAAAATAACTCACAAAAAAGGGCAGGAAGAACTAATTTATGTGTCATAAATTGGATAATATGTTACCATAAAAGCTAAAAGCAACTGAATATGTTTAATGTTCATGGAAGGAAAATGTCTTTGAATTCAACTAGTTTGACTAAATTCTGTTTAAAAAAAAATAGGTGGAGGTAGAGGGATGGTACTAAAATTAAACAAATTTCTAGTTGTGTGTCTCCAAAGAAAAATGTTTGACTAAAATATCTCTCTTGAAGCCATTGTTTGTGTATCTAAAAATAATATTACCTGTAAGGAGGCTTCCATATATACTTGTTCTGTAGGAAACCCTGGGGGCGAAAAGGAGACTTTTACTAAAGGAAAAGGTAGCCTGAGAGTTGCCTCAAGGCAAAAGCCATTATACACTTCTCTTCCGTGCCTCAGACAAGCGAAAGCAGTTTCACACGGATGCACATCAGCCCGCAACTTGGCTCTCATTAGCCCTAAGTCTGTGGAAATCTTCAGAAGCTTGGATCACCCCACCAAGCTCATTAAGGGTTTAAAATTAGGAATTCTTTTCACGAGGAGCAACAGGAGTTCTGTCTGCAGCACAGATATGGAGCCCGGAGTCTTTGTTAGGTTAACAAAGTGCATTGAAAGTGCCCACTAGGCCTGGTTGGCTGTCCTTGATAGCCCAGATTTTACACTGGGCTCTAAAAAGGAGCTCTGGCTGCTTTTCCCAAGTCCATTTACATTCTAGAGGCTGGATGTCTGATCCTTTTAAGATATACTTTTAATCCTAAATCTGTTTGTTGACTTCCTATTTTTGAAAGTGTTTGGGGTGGAGAGCACATTCAGTTATAAGGACTGAGTATGCTAAGTAGTGAAAAAGATATTCTTTCAAGAGATAAGGATGGGGGCTGGGGATTTAGCTCAGAGGCACAGCGCCTGCCTGCCAAGCATGAGGTCGTGAGTTCAATTCCCGGTACTGGAAAAAAAAAAAAAAAGAAAGAGATAAGGATGCAGGGATGCTCTTCAATTCAATTTCACTTTATAACAATGCTTAGACTTTTCAAATCCTCTGAGTCTAGAAGGTAAAATAACCTGGACTCTCTTGAATGTAATTAAAGCCACAAAATGCACAAAGTCTTATTTACGTGAAATTAAAGCACATATCTATGGTGTTGAGGCTTAATAAAGTGATTCCATTTAATGCATTCCATATGACTTGTGAGACTCTGAGAAGCAGAGCGGGCAGCGGGGGAGATCGGTTGCATTCATTCGCAATAAAAAGATACGCTAAAGAAAACATCTAACTGGTAGCCTCAGCTCCGGGCCGTGGGTCAGCCAGCGTCTGCAACCTGGTAACCCTGCGACTTGGTTTCCTCTATTTCCTATATTATCAGGACAGTGCAAAAAAGCCGCTGTTCTCATTATAAAACAATGCTGTAGTAAACAAAATGTCAGTCTGTGGCCCGTTACCTCATAGGATACAGGTGTAAATCTTAAAGAGGGCATAAAGTTCAACTTGCCTTCAGCGTGGAAAAAAAGCAATTACTTAGCTGTTAGGACAAATCCTAATATCATTGTTAGATAACTCTAATAGTCACCTGATATCTGGCAATTGTTATAAATGAATTTAAGATACATTTTTAAATCTCAAATTCAAATCATATGGAAATAACATAAGTTATCATAAAGGCATTTTGAGATAATTCTAAATGTCAATTTAGCATATTTCCATATATTGGTTTTCTAAAGTGAATGAATAGCTTCTCTTAGGAGGTAAATGTCATTTGGTCAAATGAAAAGGACAATCATATTTAAAGGTCAGTTAATATACTGAAGTAGTTGTAGTTACTAGTGTTAAAATCTCACTATATTATCTTTAAACAAGAGAACCCTGCTATTTTGACTAAAATTATGCACAATAGCTTGGCTGTTTATCTTCTTTGCTACCATTTTTATTAGCACATTGATTTTCTGGTATTATTGTCCAGCAAATCCCACTAGATTATTGATTATTGTTTTGTACAGTAAATCCTAATGCCACATAGATTTCAGTGGCAGTCTTCATTTTTTCCCTCTCTTCCTTCCTTCCTTCCTTCTTTCCCTCCTTTCTTATTCTTTGTGATTTGAAAGAACTAATTTTTGTCTTTATAGAAAAGCAAATGCTCTGGTAGAATCAGAGAACTAAGTCTTAAAAAAAAAAAAAAAAAGAGAATAATCTGAACACTCAGCTGTATGCAGCCATTCCTAGGACTGGCTTCACAATCTTGCATTATGAGAATGCCATAGTAACCACTGAAACTACCTGAGGTTTTTTTGCTTACAAAATAGGATACCATTGCAGAAAAAAGCTTTTGGCATTTTTCCCTACTTTACTCTCAATGTACACGCACTCTGTTATGGTTTATATCTAGATGCCCCCTCTGAGTCACACATGCTCCTGCGTGGGGCTGTGGGGAGGTGACTGGGTCATGGTGGCGTGGTGACAGTGGATTAGTTCACTGGTGAGTGATAGCTACACGTGATGTGGGCAGTGAAGCCTGATTGGAGGAGGTGGGTCCCTGGGGGCGTGGCCTGGAGGGTCCATCTCTTTCCTGCATCCCTTGATTTTCTCTGCTTTCTGCATGCCATGCCTTGAGCAATTGTCCTCTGCCATGCAGCTCTGCCTTGGAGCCAGCTGACTGTGGACTGAAACCTCTGTAAGCTGTGAGCCGTAATACACCTTTCCTCCTTTAAGCTGTGGGTGTCAGACATTGTGTCTTAGCAACAAGAAAGTAGCTAAGAGCACACACACACACACACACACACACACACACACACAGGCTTGACTTGCTGTTACTTCAGACTGGTGGCTACAAAACAATTTTATTAGGATACAGAACTGGTTTTTATCAAAAGATATTTTTAATATTTTATTTTTGAACTGGAAATGTTATTATTTAGTAATTATTTCTACCACTAAAACCATGAAGATAGAGACGATACTAAGAACTTATTTAAGCATCTCTGTCCAGACAACCCTTTCCCCCGGTACCAACAACAGTAAACAGGCTCATACAATGAATAATTTTAGCAACAGGGGTTATCTGATCATGAGATTGCTTTTAGCCAAACTTTCCTTCTTTTTCAATACTTGTCCTCATGCTACATTGCCTTAAAAGCGGCTCCAGCCATTCACAGATGGTGCTATGGTTTAGACCGACAGTCTCCCGCAAACCTAGCACACTGAGCCTTTTGGAGGGTGACTGGACACAGGGTGCTACAGCTGACTTGCAGTTAGGAGGTGGGTCCTGTCAGAGGAGCTGGGCCACAGGGGTGTGCACAGAGGGTGTGTTTCCCTTCCGAATTCTTCCCTTCTCTTTCCTAACCTCCACGGCATAAGTAGCTGTCCTCTGCCAGGCGCTCCCATCAAGTTCTTCCAGCCTGAAGCCAGCTGTGGACTGCAGCCTCTGAACACTGTGAGCCGGGATACACCTGTCCTCCTCACAACTGTGAGTATCGGGCGTGATAAGTCACAAGGCACCCCCCCCCCCCCCAGGGGAGATTTAAGCTCTTTTATTAAGGAGTTAATAAAAACTGCTTCCTCTTCACCTGTTCCCCTCCAGTTCCCCTCAACAAAAGCCAACCTCGCCCTCGTCCACCTTGGCAGAACCAGACATTCAACTCTGACAAGTGACACCCCCACTCGGGCTGTTCTGGCCCAGGGACACCCCTTCCTGGAAAATGTCCTGGCCCACAGACAACCTCCCCCCAAAAAGAACAGCTTAAAAATCCCATGCTTTGCTCAGCTCAGGGCTGTCCTAGTCTGCTGGGCAGCCCACCATGCGGCCCCCCGCCCCAATAAAGACACCTCTCGTGTCGGAAGACCTGGTCTGGTTCTGTGTGGGTCTCAGCCCTGTCATGTCAAGGTGTTTAGTCCAAGCAGTGGAGAACATGATGAAGACCGGAGAGCGCAGTGGTCAGCAGGCAGGGACAGCTGGCGGCCGCAGTACGTTTTCACGGTTCATCAGAAGTCAGCATAAACACTAAAATGTCCCTATGATATTCTCTTCTATTCCTGCTCTTTCTGATTTGACACCTAAGTCCTGGACTATGTCATAATATTTACAGCCTTCGAATTGGACCCAATTGAAACTTTAGCATTGTTTCTTAAATTGGTAAAAGTAGGAGTTGGTGAAAGGCTTTGTTTTGTTTCACAGGTAGGTGTGATTTTAGACCTACCTGTCTAAATTTTACATCTCATTGGCTGATTTCTTTCCCTGTAGCCCAGAAAAAACTGGGATTCTTTCTGGCCAATACATTACAGCACAGGTGAAGAGATTTTCAGATAGTTAAGGTCCCCAATGAGTTGATTTTCTGGTATCAAAAGAGAAAGTATGCTATGTGGCCCTGCTTTAGGTGAAAGTTCCAAAGGAGGGACTGGTCAGCTCTGGACTTCAGAGACTGTACCGTTGGCCTTGGAGAGGCAAGCTGCCCTGAGGTGTGCAGTTGTGAGGAAACAAGTTCAGTGGCAACAGCTTGAATTTGAAGCGGCTGGAGTCTCGGGTGAGGACATATACCTGCCTGACACCTGGGCTGCAGGCTACTAAGACCCTGAAGCAACTCAATCATGTCTGGATGTGTGACTTGCAGACACTGTAAGAGAACACATCTCTTCTTTTGCGCCACTGAATTAGTGGCAATTTCTTACTCAGGAACAGAAAACTACTCCAATAGAACATTTTCACCTGAGTCGTATATGGGAAAGTAATTAATATTGTACTGATAAATGAGCTTGGGAATTCTTGAGAGTTCTATGAGGTCTTCCTGGTACAACTGCCCATTGATTACAGAGCAGCCCCCAGTCAACAGCGAGGAGATCTGAATAGTGTTCTTGGATTGGTTACTTGCAAACTCCCCACGGAGTTTATGATTTGGTGTATTTGTGGTTTTCACAAAATTGTGGGGGTTTCTGTTACAGCAACTATTACATTTAAAAAAAAAATCTGCAAAAGGCTGAGGCCAGGAACTCTGAACCATGACTTTGCAGGGGTATACTGTAATTATTCTCATTTGAAAGGTAATTAGATAGTAGCCATTAGAAATTATTAATGGCAGTAGTGATTATATATATAGGATATATATATCCTATACATATCATATATATCATATATATATCATACACTGAAAAAGAAAACTAAACCACTTTTAGTTGAAAAACTTAAATGTCACCATGATAACGGAATAATTAACTTAGAAAAGCTAAACATCTCTTTATCACTAGTTTACCCACCCTTGTTATTTTAGCACCTGGCTCTTCCCTGTTGTGTACATAGCAAGCCATGTCTCAAAATACACATTTAATGTAGCAGAGCTCTTCTGTCCTTACCTAATCCCATAGTACCCTGGGTCAGAGGGCACAGCTGCCTGGGAGCTCCTCGTGCAAAGTGGTGTCACTGCAGAGTAGTAGATGGCCAGTCAGTACTGACAATCAGCATTGAAAGAATGTAAATATTGAAGCTTTGGAGATAATAGTTAATCAATGGCAAGAACCTAAACTTGGGTTTTCTGCTTGTGATTTGCATGATGCATATTTTTATTCAGATGAACTAAATCAGATATCAAATTGTGGAACATCACTAATGCATGCAGGTATTGGGTAATGTAAATACCTTTGTCTGGTTCAATGGAAAAGGGAGGATTTTCAGTCAGATGAATGAGCATTTGTTTATGGGTAGCTCATCAAACTGGTAAACCACTTATTTAGCAGAATATAATGCCATTATTTGTAGTGTCAGCAAAACTGGGTATGAGGCAAGTGAATGAGGCTAATCAGGCATTCTCCTCAGTACAAAACCTAGGGGAGGGTCCTAGCAACAATCACAATAAGTATACTTCAATGAATATTTTTAAATATCAACTAAGGTACCACATTTTTAAAAAGGAAGCATCCACAAGAGTGCCATGCTGGTCCACATTGGAGCCAAAGGCGAAAAAGAAAAATCAGTTTCACTCATTCTGTTTTTAAATTGCTTGAGTTTAGTCAGCATGGATTCTCCCATCATTTCTGAATTTTTTAGATACTGACTTTAGATGGTGCTTATCTTGATTACTGTATACTTCAATTTTGTGCCTAAAGCAAGAGCCTCAGCCAGGTTCTGGCCATATGTGAGAGCTATTATTTTTTCAGTGTTTTGGCTAACTTAGAAGCAATAGTTCTCACTCTTCTTAGTTTCTCAAAGTTTGGGGTCAAAATTCTGTATCATATATTTATGACCAACAGGCTTTCAAAAGGATGCCAAGAATTTTCATTGATGGAAAAAATAGCTTTTTCGAGAATTACTGGTGGGACAACTGGATATCCACACACAAAAGAATTAATTTGGACGTCTTCCTGATACTACACATAAAGCTAACTCAAAATCTATCACAGAGCTAAATTAAGAGCTAAAAGTATAAACTTCTTAAAAGGAAACAGCAATAAACCTTTGTGGTGTCAGCAAAGGCGAAGACACCTTAGATCTAACACCAAAACAAAAGTGGAAGAGGAAACAATGTTATCAGAATTCAAATTTCTTTTATTACAAAGGACATTATCAAGAAAATTAAAATAGAAAAAGGGGAAATTATTTGCAAATCATATATATCAATGGACTGGTATGCAGAATATGGAAATAATTCTTACAACTCAACAAGAAAAACATTAGCTCAGTTTAAAATAGCGCTAAAGGATGTCAATAGACATGTCTACAAAAAGATATCAAAGTGACAAATAAACAGGAAGAAAACATTCTCAGTATCATTGATAGTTAAGAGGACATGTATCCAATCCTGTGGAAGCATCCCTCCCCAAGCACCAGGATTCTACAATCGAGAGGGAAGCGAGTGTCAGCCTGTATCAGGGCCGTCATACACTGTTAGTGGGGATGTGCAGTGCGGCGGCAATGTTGGAAACAGGTTGATAGCTCCTCAGAAGGTTCAACAGTGGATTACTGTAGAATCCAGCAACTGTAAGGAAATGAAGCCATCCATCCACACCAAAAGTTGTACCCAGATATTTATAGCAGCATTACTCAAAAAAGCCAAAAGATGGAAATAACCCAAATGCCTATAAACTGACAAATGGATTGACAAAATGTTGTGTATGCCCAAAATTATGTGACAATAAAAAAGAATGGAGTACTAACACAACTTTGCAACACAGGCTTTGAAAACAGCATGCTGACTGAAAGATCCCACTCAATTCATAAGGAATTATATTATGAATCCATACACAAGGTGAACAGGATGGACAAATCTAAAAATATGGAGAATGAAAGTAGATTAGTGGCTGTCAGCGTTTGGGGCCAGTGGGTAATGAGACATTATCACTAATAGAAGCAGTTTCTCTTTCAAGTGATGTTCCAAAATTGTAGCATTGTTTGTGCAATGCTGAGTATACTATCATTGAATTGTTTACTTTAAATGGGTAAATTATATGGTCTCTGAATTATGTCTCAGTGAAGCCATTAAAATGGTTAATGCCAGGCACAGCTATTGCCAGCCTCCTTTCCCCTCCTTTGGGTGAGCCACAAGCAAAGGCTTTTGCAAAGGGCTTTCTTCTGTAGGACAACCTATGCCAAGCCGAGCTGGACAAAACACAAAATGATAGTATCTCCACAGGACAGGACAAGTGATGCGATATGATTTAAAAGATATACTGTTTCCCGAACATTTTCTACTTTCCATTTCCTCCGTTTATTCAAGGTGTAGAGTGACCTGTAAACAACAGGATGAAGGACTGAGGAGGAGGAAACCTGCTGGGAAGACTCACCTGGTGAAGAGCGGGGCTCCTGTCCTCAGTCTTTAAAGGTGAACCCTAGAGCTGAATGCGGGTTTGGTTTTGTTTTGTGTTTGTTCTGTTTATTTTTTCCAGCTCTAAAACTGATATCATACGATAGATACTGCTGGTGCTAACTTTGATTTTATCTTTATAAAGGACTCATGTGGCAGCCAGCGCTGGGTAGAATGGAACCTCTCTGAGGTCTAACATTTCTACTAACTGCAATTGTTCGCCTTGAAACTGATAAATCATATCTTAAATGATGCCAAAAAATGAAATTTTTTTTAATCTGAGATTATACCATTCACTTTATCAACCACTCTGGAATCACCGATTTTGTTCAGTGAGTATTTCTTTGTAAGGGTCAGTAATTATAACTGCCTCGCACTTACATCACAGCCTGCACTACTGCTTTGTTATTTTAATCTAAACTCATAGTTTCAATGCACTGCACTAAAAGTGTGCTAGGTTTTGTTTTGCTTTCTTTTCAGAGGATGGAGAAATAGCCTGAAGCCTGAAGTCGTTCAGATTCATTTTCAAAGCCTGACTGGGAGCCGCTTTGGTCAATCAGAAAGCAACAGAAGTACAACAGACTTCTCAGGGGGTGGCAGGAGATGGGTGGGAGGTCAGTCACCGATCTCCAAAGCCACCTCCCCTACTCAGGAGGCACAGATTCAAGCCCAGCAAAGGCAGAACTTTGCTTCTCTAGTGACTATCTAACATTAGTGCACATTGGCTGTTCTCAATGTTCGGTCCCCTGAGCAAGGACAAAATGACTTAGAGAAGTCCCACTACCCCTATGCCAATAGTCATGTGCCTTAAAATGTTTTTTTTTTTTTACTCACTTCTTTACTGTATATACCAAGCAAGATAAAGAATGAGATTCCATGTAATGAATTACACAGTGTGCAATGAATACCACATCATTACTGGCTGTTATATTGAGTCTACCTTCATTCTTTAAAATGTCCTCAATGAGCAAGAAGGTTTTAGAATGGAGAATGACCCCCATCCATTCTCACGTTATATAAAGAACACAACTAAGGGCAGGGCTAGGTTTGAATTTGAGACATTATTCAAAGATAAACCAAAGTCTGAACATCAGGGATCCAGAGGGGTAGTTGCTTCACAGTACAATACAAGGGAAAGGGAATTAAGAACCATCTGCATTTAGTATCCTTTCAACTGCCATCATGCCACACATTGCAAAATGGCTCCATGGCAAATATTCAGAAGAAGACAGCTGAAGCACTCCTTGGTAAGATATTGTCTTTTTGTAATATCCATTTAAAGGGAGCTGCAAAAGTAAAGGCAGATGTGTAATATATGGTTGGCACCATTTTTATTTTCTTATACATCTTGCCACTGTCTGGGGGCAATGCTCTAGTGACTACTGAAATATAATAGCTGCTTTTTCTCTCAGTACACAATTTGACAGCATTTATTCTTTCCTTCAGTGAACATAATTACTTCACATATGGAACCTGTGATAGCCTACAGGCATCTGAGAGAAACCAGAATCACGCAATCTGTCCCCTTTGCAAGCTTAATTTACATTCACAAGTGTCATTTTATTAGGGCTGGCATCATGTAGAATAAAAATTACAGGTCAGCTATGCCATGTCACTGGGAAATGTGCTTAAGTCAATAATGTGGTATGATTGCATTTGGGATAATTTTACAAGAGAGATCTCACAGGAGGAATCTGACCCTTATTTCTTAGTTTCTAGCTTTACTACTACCCACAAGGTAATTCATTTAGAAATAAGAATTGAAACAAATAGTTTAGCCCGCTGTAAATATTAGTGCTGTGTGTCATACCCTGCAATAAACCTCTGTAATGACATCTGCAATGTTAATGGACACGGGAGGTTCATCTTTCTAGCTTCTCAAAGTGGACATGTTTGGTTTTGTACAACCAAAATGGCACTGATCATAAGATTGTACTCTTTCTCTTGGTCTGGTGAGGGTGGAATTTAAGGAGATTGTGTTACTGACCCTTTCCATAATAAGTAACATGGCATTATGGGTTCATCAGATGTTCCCTTGGAACGAGAGGTATGAGGCCTGGGGTAGACAGTAGATTAGTGATTGCTTCTCTGAGAACAGGGAACAAGTCTTGTAATTGGAGGTTGGCTACCTACCTTGATGGTATAAAAAATGGCTTTAGCATGAGAAATTAGAGGTTAGCAAAATATAAATCATGACTGCTTCATGAGACCACATTCTTTCATGAAATGTATACTGTGATAAGTAACAGAGCATAAGTCTTAGATGGCAAAGATAATATACACTTCACTAACCCACCACAGCCGTGACCACTTTCAGCACGCATACTAAACCCTCCCAGCTTCATCTCATTGGAGCGATACACCAGCGTGGATGTCAGCGGCTCAATTGGAAACCAAACTTCAGTGCGTGGAGGGGGAACGGTACGGCACAAGTGCTCAGACCCAAAACTAAAAGCAGAGTCACTGAAATCTAAACAAGCAAGAGAAAAAACTGAGAAGGTCTGTGAATAGTTTTTATTCAAGCTAGGAGAGCAGTGTGAACCATAGTAAGCATTAGGATTGTATATCAAATACAATTTTTGAAGAATATTCACGTCTCACTCCACCTTTAGAATTGCCTTACTTTAAGGTGATTTAACTTTGTAAAGTTTTACTTTTATCAAACCATACTGTACACGTGGTCAGAGAATCTAACGGCAGAAGAGAGTGCGTGTGGAGAAGCTGTCTCCGCACGTCACCGAGCAATGTACCCTACCCCAAAGCAGCAGCACCTTTTAACTGCTCGTTTAGTTCTCGTTTTAAATGCCATTGTACTCACACTTGTGCCTCTTCTGACATATTTGACTTGTCAACTTTAGCAATTCTTGATTATCTTACTGCTTTAATGTTATTTATGATTACACCTAAAAATTGAATACTATTTATAACATTTAAAACCATTGAAATTTTATGAAGGAAAAGTTGTTCTATTTGTTTATAAAACACCATTACACATGTCATGCAGTGATAGCTATGATTTAGTAACTAGTGTGACTTAGGCTCTGGTTAATATGAAAGAAACTCTTTTCTTCACATTTCCATCTAGTAAACAGACAATATATACTCGTTCTGCTGCGCTTTGTCCATTGCTAATGAAGTCTCTCAGCACAGGGTCTCCCTCTGCTTTGGAGTGGACATTGATTAAGATCACCTCCCTTAGATGTTTCCCAGTGTCATGAACCAATAAATTCTCTTAAAGATGTAAGTCCATTTCACTTGAAACTTTTGTTTCTTTCAACCCAAGGCATCCTGCTTGATTTAGTTAATACGCACTTTGAACCCCAGTTATAAATTCTGATCAAAAAGCTTATTGTGTTAGTCAGCTTTCTATCATTGTCACAAATTACTACGATAAATCAACTTATGAAAAGGACAGGTTTTGGGGGGCTTGGCTTTGGCCGTTTTAGTCTATGAGCGGTTGGCCTTGTTGCCTAGGGCCTGTGGGGAAGCATTCCACCGTGGCAGAGCCTGTGGCAGAGGAAGCCCAGTCCCCTCACAGCTGCCAGAAAGCCAGAAGACGGCAGGACTGCGGTCCCAAAACTCTTCAGAGCAGCGCCTCGCTGACCAGAGTCCTGCCTGGTCTCCGTCTCCTAAGCCCACTGCCCCCAGTGTCACTAAGGACTAATCTTTGATGCCGGGGCTTTTAAGAGGCATTTTCAATCCAAACTGTAGTGTGCACACTTATGATTCACTATGTGCTAGAAGAGGGTTTAGATATCAAGGAAATCTTGTCCTCAAGGATATCACTGTTTATTAAGAAATCGAAGGGGCTGGGGATTTAGCTCAGAGCACAGTGCCTGCCTGGCAAGCGCGAGGTTGTGAGTTCGATCCCCGGTACCGGAAAAAAATTTAAAAAACCAAACCAAACTAAAGCAAAACAAAAAAGAAATCAAAGCAAATATATGATTAATACAACAATAGTACAGAGGAAGGGAAGCAACAAAGGCTTCCTGTGAAATTAATGGGGTGAAAAGGGGGAGAAAAACTTTGAAGAAGATATGACGCTTAGACTAGATCTCAAAGGATGAGTCTTCAGTTTTATTTTTCTTGGTGTATGTATGTGACCCTCCCCCAACGCCTTTAAAAAGATCCATCTCCTACTTCCTATTATGATTTTTAAATAAGATCTCATTCAGCTGTAAATAACAAAAGCCAAACTCAAAATGATTTACGCTGAAAAGAAAATTCGTAGTTTCAGTGAACGCGAGTCAAGCTCCATCTCACCCTTCAGACAATGGTGTCCAGAATCTGGTTCCCGTTTCTTTCTTCTGCTTTTCTCTGTATGTGCTATGGACGTAACTACAGGCCACACTCATAAGTGAACTAAGTCAGACCCACATGTGTAACACTGTTGTCTCCTAGTGTAAGGAACTGAAAGAGTAAGTAAAATCCAGAATGTATAGTAGTTATTATGAAAGGGAAGGAAACTGCTCAAAAGGAAGGAACAACTGGGATGAGGGAAAGGAGAA